GCTGATACGTCTCATGATCAAGATGAGCGGCACATGAGGCCTTGAGGGGCGTCGCAGCAATCCGCCCGACGAACCGAAGATGTTTCTGCAAACGTGGAGAGACGCAGGAGCACCCTTATGCGCATGGCTTATCGACGCCAGCTTGACATCATGTCTCCGACGGAGTGACAAGGCCGTGACTTGGACTAGCCTAGGCAGTACGCAGACTTCACTTATAAGCCCGCTCTCACTCTCCCTTCGTTCTCCATCCCACTCGCAACTGTCATCCCTCTACCACCAACACAGCCACTGAGAACGACATGGCCTGCAACTGCCAGAGCACCTGCGAGTGAGTCAACTTGTTCTTTGTCGAGCATAGTTGGGACTATGGCTGACGACTGCTACGTTATCATGTAGCTCTTGCTCCTCCGCTGCGAGCTGCGCCTGCGCCCAGGGCACCTGCAAGTGCGCGAGCTGCCCGAACGCTGCGAAATAAACGAAGTACAGTGCATCTACTCCTCAATCCCTCGACCAACACACTGAGCCATCTATTCCAGGTCGTACTGTGTTCTTCAAGTTTTGCAATGGTCGGAAACGTGTACGATGTATGAGGGCTTGCCAATGTAACGCTGTGCCATGCAATTAACCTTGTATTGCCACTGAGGCACTTGTGCGGACCGACATGCGGCAATTGCGCCGACACGTGCGAGGCATTTCAGCGACGCTTCTGAGGCCTTTGCGCGTGGAGTGTGATGTCTGTGGTGCATCGTTGACGGAGTCGCTGACGCTCATGTAAGTATAGAAGGCTTGAGGCCATAAGTACAACAACTGGGTGGGACGCTGGGGGTGCATGCACAGCCTCAGCCTGCGCAAGCCTTTCGCGTTTGTTCCAGATCACCACGTAGGCAACCAGTACAAGATGTGCCTCCTCGAAGTCACCGGCACATATCTGTCTCAATTGGATCCACACAAGATCGCGGACATCGGTCGCGACATGCTCCCCGTCCTCCGAGGCACTATCGGCCTGCAGCTGCCGAGTCGGGACTTCTATGTGACCAGGGCGTACCTCCGCAGCATCCTCAAGGCCTACCTGACGATCGGAAAGGAGATTTCCTTGGTGGTAAATAACAGCGAGTACATGAAGCTTGACAAATACGTCACGACGAACACGGCTACTTGGAGAAGAAAACATTGGTGGGACAAGTGTGCTGCGGAACTGGACTCCATGCTGGATGAACTGCAAGTACTGCGTTCCATCCCTATGTACGTCGATCCAGATCACACTCCATGCAGTATTGAGGAGCTGATGATTTCTTCGGATACCAGAATTGATGGGCCTGCAGTTCCTTTGGGTGACGTCGATGTCGGGCGTGGCGTTAACCGAAATACGGCAACGACAGAATTCCAGGGCCAGGAGTTGCACGGGGAGAACGGAATTGTCGTGATTGATAAAGGCAGGGACGGAACAACAATTCCTGTGTTTGTTTTGAGCGAGTCTTCGAAATATCCTGAACGATCACCATGGAAATTTCAACGCTGACGGCCCCAGTACTACACCACATTCGTCTAGGAGTGACGACGAGGCAAGATGGTTGATTGATTGTACTGATGATACGACTACGAAGGACCGCTGTAGACCAATTGTTTTTTGTCTTGTAATGAATACCCAGGCCTTGCTCATCCCGTACATCAAATGGTGGCGTCGGTGAGATCGGAATCTTACCAGACGCTCAACCGGTCCTCCTCCTCGCGCATCACGATGATCGTTCCGAGTCGATCGTTCTGTTCGCAGCTCTACTGACGGAACGAGTATCATCGTTGGAATCGCTTGAAACTCAACACAAAAGAACAAACAGGAAATCGGGTCTGGCACCTCCAACTGGGTCACTTCTGAGTCGAGGCTTCTGCCAGACGCTGTCAAAGTCTGTCCGACGCGAATCTCCAACCCATATACATTTCCGAAGGTCGCGGCTCATGCCGTCAGAAGACTCCTCGCAAGTAGCGAACGGAGGTGAGGTCTTCACGGTGGTACCAATCATCAACATCCAGCCTGACGTGGTTTGTTCGAGGCTCCCAGATAACAGCGCTGACCACGGACCAACTACGGCAGAAAAGGCCGCACCACAGTCTCAGTCGTTAGTCATGCAGATCGTCGTGAGACGGGACTTGCTTGATGTCGGTGCTGTGTGTTTTTTCTTCCCATGCGTCGACACTACTGACATTCTGCATTCATCTTGGATGCGCTCGAACCATCCCGTCCCACTTGAACGTCACATCGACACGTACATCCTGATGGCAATGGCGTCCACTAGACTCCAGGATGGGGCGTTGGTCCACTGATGGCCCAGACAGCCCATGCTACGGCTGCCGTGAGTTCGCGACTGTTCTACCCTATCTCTACCGACATGGATGGACATTTGTACAACAGGTGTTACACGAGACGCGCGATCTCCCTGAGACCAGAGCATACCTTGACGATCTGAAGAACATGCGAAAGGTAAGCGAGCCATTCATCGAGCCAGTGGATCGAGGCAGCCCCGTGCCGTCGTCTCCGTGCATACTGAAGTCACGCCGACTTATCATCTGCATCATCTTACAGGCTGTCCTTCAGGTGATTTAGTCGTGACTCGCACACTTTACATTCTCTGACACTCGGTGGTAGGTAGCGGACCGCAAAGGCATCGAAAAGCTCGCCACTCTGCTTTCCTCGGCGGACCCCCCTATTCCACATCACTTGTGGATCGAGCAGCCTGAGAACGAACCATCGTGCCTTGCATTGGCCCCAAATCGGCGCGAGAGCAGGGTCAAGAAGGCGTTGGACAAGAGCGGATGTAGATTGTGGAAAGGGTAGGGTCCAAAGAATGCACGGATGGGGATGGCGAAGATTGTACAACAGAATGACGACGCGATCTTTCTTGCCATTAATACGGAGCGAGCTCACCAGAGTCCATGGAGAACAGAATATCACATTCCTCCTACTCGTACATACATGCGCGGCGGGGCACCGCGCCACATCTTTATGACTGCAGACAGCTTCGAGTTTGCGACATAAGGGGACGGATCGAAGCGGGATGCGAATCCAGGGGACGACGGAACGGGACGATGCTAGTACATCTCCAGACTCATGCCGTCGTGGATCTCGTAGTCCGCGAGCGTGATGTGGTCCTTGTAGATCGTGTACCTGCAATCGGAGGGCATTGACCATCAACCGGAAGTCAATGCAGGGCATAAGTAGCACGATGGGCGCACCATTTCTTGAGCTGGATCTTCGTGTGATCCGTGCCAGTCTGAGCACCGATGAGCTTCTTCAGGTCGCCGACGGTATCGTCTGGACTGCACTTCACACGGACTGAGGGACAATTGTTAGCAAGCTGCGAGGAAGAGCACGATATCGACGAACACACCTTTGCGGCCGAGACGGTCATTAGCAATAACCTAGCGATCCAGATGCAAGATTCGATGTACGCCACAGACGAGTCGAAGAAGAGGGATGCAGAAGCAAAGAGCGATCCAGCCATCAGCACCAGGACTTAACAAGCACAGAGAGCAAATCACATACTTCAATCAAAGCCATGGTTCAAAAGCACTTGATGAAAGCGAAGACGACAGCACGGGCAGCGAGTACGCAGAGAGCAAGGAGCGGATGGGCGGGCGCTTGTGTCTATCTTGCATATCTTTCCGAGAAAGGAAAGTACAAACATCAAAAGACCTGGGTTCAAACGTTCACTAGCACTGTCTAGTCAAAACCTGCAAAATATAATATGCTACGATGTCTACTGACAATTAACCCACACTCGCTGTATATCGTTATCTGTTCTGTCCAACTCGCCAACTGTATATGTGAACACTGTAGATCTCTGTCCATTACTGTCATGCACCAATTCCTATCCACCTCGACTTTGAAGAGCCTCCCGCTAAATAAGTTGATCCCCTCGACATCACCATCATAACGCGCGGATTCGCGCGAGGCGTACGTCGAGACCGGAGGGATCTTCCCGCACGTCGAATTCGTATGGGGACTCCGTGTCGTTAGAGATGAAGGGGTTGCCGGTAAAAGCGGGATGGGGCGCAGGTTCCTTCGGGAGTGAGAGGTATCGCGTGGCGTGTATGTGGCATTCCAGCGGCTCGAGGCTCGCCCACGGGATCGGCACTCTCAGACTGTACGGACTCAGGCTGCCCACGATGGAGAATGACGCCCAGTGGCGGCACAGTGCGGTAAGCGCAGACAGGCGCCCTATTCCGCTCACCTGCTGCGAGGTTTTCAGGGATATTCTGAGGTTTTTGGACAGTTGCCGTGTTGGACGGGTCGCCGTGACCCACACGATCCCTCGTCCACCGTCTTGAGATGGGCAGTCCAGTACCTCAACCTCTATGACCTCCTCGCCCTTCGCTTCGAGTGAGAGCTGAGGTAGGGGAACACCAGGTGCAGCAAATGGAACGGAAGGGGTGCCATTCGGGAGGATGCGACGTAGCTGACGAGTAGGGTTTTGTGTAGCTCGGCGAGGCCGGTTGCTCGTTGGTGACATAGGCGGATATTTGTTGAGGGATTTGTCTCCCACTCCTCGTCTTAATAATGATATCTGTAGGAGGTCCGGGACGGGGCGTTACGACTGTTACGTTTTCAGACCAGCGCTCCTCTCATTAGCCGTCGTTCGTGCTTCGATCATGATGTGGGTACTTACATATGTTCTCAGTGACAGGAGACTCACTGCAAAGTCTTCCGAGGAGTCGTCATATGACTTCACTCTAAGTAAGTATGCGCACAGACCTTTCTCTGCGGTCGGATCTGTCCAAAGAGTCCTGCAAAGTCACTCTCCGTCAGTCTGCCTACTCATCCTTCAATATTACATCGTCTGTTCCCTTAACTACAGTGGTTAGCTGTTTGATCAAACATCATACCGACGTACCTGCTGAGCATGGATGACACTCCCGAGATATCGATTTTGTTCACAACACAACAGGCGCATTGACAATTGCTACTATACAAACCTGCAGTAATGGTTGAACCCCTGGTGCATGTATCACGGAAGGCCCTTTCCTGCCCTCGTCGCTTTCGCGACCTCGCTCTGAGCCTCATCGCGCAGGTAGCGCCCGTAGATCGGCTCATAGTGCTCAAGGTCCTGTACACGCATCATGAAAATCTCTGCCTGAGTTTCATGACTGACAAGCACTCACACTCTGCGTCTTCAGTACGCTTTGCCTCGTCGAGAGTTTCTCCGCATACTCCTTCCAGCCGCTGCCAACCGCATCGCGAGAATAGCCTCGGTGGTCCTGTAGGATGTAGTCGCGGATGACCCACGGTGCGAGCACGACGTCGACCATGCTGAACTCGGCGCCGAGGAAGTACGGGCCCTTCGCCTTCTCGCTCACCTTCCGCAGGCTCTCGTAGTACTCCTCGCGCGCGGCCGCCTGCGCCTCGGGCGTCTGCCCCTGGAGGAGCCGGTGGAACGCGGGCACGACGTTCTTCGCGACGTGGTCGACCCAGAGGCGAACGTACGCGCGCTCGAACGGGTCCGTCGGGAAGAGGTGCGGCGTGTGCGAGGGGTAGGCGTCCTCGAGGAACTCGCAGATGATGAGCGACTCGTAGAGCGCGCGGCCCTTGTATTCGACGGCGGGGACGAGGCCCTTTGGGTTTATGTCTGCAGTGAGTGAGCAGGGTGCTCGCTGTCACCATGACGAGCCGCACGTACCGAGGAAGTGCTTCTCCTTCTTGTACGGGTTGACCTCCTTGTACTGGTACGGTATGCCGCGCTCCTCCAGCACGATCCACGCGCGCTGGACGAACGGACAGAACTGTGCTCGGGTCAGATGGGGCAGCGGTTGTCATAACTTAGTCGCTCGGACGCACCCAACCAGCCCAAAAGACGAGATCCTGCGGAGCCTCGTGCTGCTTGACCGTCTCGAGCGCATGACCCGTCGCCGTCGGGTGGACATTCTCGTCGGGGTGGCCCATTGTCGCTGAATAGCTTTTCTGGTGCTTGAGGTGGTTGTTGGGGTGAAGTCTAGCTGTAAAATCGACGGTGGAGGAACGCCTTGAATGATTGGAGTCCCGGCAGCTGACTGAGCCAGTTCAGTAATCGTCGTTGATTGCGTCATTAATTCAGTACGAACCTTGCCTAAGGTTCACGAAAGCACGTCGGGTGAGCAACGACACGAGCACAGACGCCATGTGCGACATGCGAGCGAGGAAGACAGGACAACTTGAACATTTTGACCGGGGAGCAGCCGACGGACGTTCTGGACAACATCAATGTCGGCGACAACCGCGACGATCTCAAAAAGTTAAGTTGCCAGTGTGTACATACGTGGTCACGTGATCTTTACGCGATGGTACTGGTAATACCTGCATACTATGCAGCCGCCATCTTCCCGACGCTCAGTACATTCCGACCTGGCAGAAACCTTGCAGTCGCAAGGTAACTACACGCTGTTGCTCCGATCTCTAACTTACAATTTCTTGAGTTCTCCGAAGGCACTACACTGATAGGAACGGCCTTAAGGGCACGACTCCATATGCTACCACAATGAATTCTTATCCTCCGGAACTCCTCACGCAGCTTGCGCCCGTCATGTTCGTCGGCGGTCTTGACCCTCCTCCTACATCGGGCAAGACGACGGATCCCTTCTTGGTGCTCTCACATCGCCTACGAGAGGCTTTGGCAAACCAGCGAAAGGTGGCAGTTTGGCAGCCAGAGAAGAAGAAGACGTTCCAGGTCGTTCTGGTCGACAAGGTACGCTTGCTCTATTGAATGAGTATAGAGTTGAAGGAGACCGTCGATGAGGGTCGCTGGGCCATATCCGTCTACCGGGCGAAGCCCCGGACGTACCTGGGCAGTGCATCGTCAATCCGGTGGCCTTGCTCCCGCTTCGCTGGGACGAAGTGATCAACGGGGAAGGGCTTGAGCCCTGTTGCTCTCACGGCTGGTCTTGCGCATCGCTAGGAGGTCTCTTACTCGCGTTACTTCGGCTTGCTTGAAACTAGGCGTCTGCACTATTACCCGACGATCGACTGGGGCACTATAGTGTCGTGATTGGTTTGTGAGACTCTGCCGGATTCCACGCGACACTCAATTCAGTGTGCTGTGAGCTCGTCCTACACTGTCCTTATATTCGTGACGGTGTGGTTAGCGAAGGCCAGATGCGTCGTACATAGCCAGTTGTGCAGTCTGTGACCGTGTGTCGTTCCGTGTCATCATTTTGGTTAGACGGGTGGAAGTACCGACGATTTACAATGTTTTGCGCACAGGACGTTCGATTTCCTCCTCGCAGACTTATTCCTCCAGAACACCCAGATTATCCAAACGCGCACTCGCCTCTATCTCCCCTTACCCCGTCTTCACCGCTCTACCCTGACGGCCTCATCGCGCCCATATGGATCCGCAAACATACGCGACTCGTTCCGTCCGTGTTCGTGGTGTTCATGCGCCTCTTTGAGCATGCACCGACGTCCCGCGCGCCCCTGGAGACCGCTGAGGAAGATCGCGAGCGCGACGCGGAGGAGCGACGGCGGGATACGGAGCTATGTGCAGAGATCGCTGGGCGGAAGAAGGTTGTGAGTGAACGTGGCGTAAAGTTGACGGTGGTGCTACTGGCCAGCAGGCGACTGCTAGGTGCGTGAGCGAGCACTCGGGTTCTCTGTTGACCTTACATTTCACACCATAGATGACCCTTCCCTGGACGGTCGCCTCACCTATATCCGCCGACAAAGTGGGCTTGACCCGCGTGCCGCCCTGTTTGTCCTCTCCCCCGTCTCACACTCCGAGATCGGCGACTTCGTGCACAGGTGCGCTTGCCTTTCCATTTCTACCCCGATGGGCTGCTTCATCGGGTGCACAATAGTCTGCAAGAAGCCCTCTATGAACCCGCGATCGAGTACTACACCAACCACTCAAAGCGCGTACGGCGGAAACGCAATCGACACTCACAGGCTGCTTCTTCCTACCCCGTCACACAGCCTATCGGGAGCGTGCCAAGCAGACCACTCAGACCGGAGGGGTGGACGGTGCGGTACGAGTACAAGATGGCGTGCTTTGCGGAGTTCCGAGGCGAGGACGAGGTTGCGCTTAAGTACATATACTTCTTCAATTTGCATGCTATAGAGTCTGATTGCGACGAAAGACACTACCAGGATGCCTATGCTAGCTTAGCGATCATGTTCGGGTCGACAGCTATCCTACCCCGAGGACGAAGCGGTGGGCAGAGGCGAAGGTGCTCGCGGACTGTATCAACCTCAAGGTACGCGGAATTCGAGTACTCTCGTGTCCACCAGAGTTCATGGCTCCGCGCAGATATGCAAACTTTACCTCTACAATAACGAGCACTCGCTCGCGTTAGCGCATCACAACAGCCACATGCGCAAGTTCTCTGACTTCTCTCGCGGGTGGGGCATCGGCGAGGAAACGTTCGAGTTCTGGAGCTGGCTCGCGCGACAGTACGGCTGGCCGCCCTGTCTTCCGCCCAGGCCCACTGACTGAATCTGTCCACAGACATCGTGCCTTCGCCGAGCTCCTGGAGCATGGAACGCGCTCCACACTCAAGATTCCGACGCATTTCTCGACCACCCCGTCCTCGCATGCGGCAGCAGTGGCAGCGGTACAAGCACTCGAGAGCGGGCAGCGTGGGGTCCTCGAGGTGGAGGCCATGCGTGCGCTCGGCCTGAATCCCAGTCAGGCTTTGCAGCATCCGGGCTTCTACTACTATATGTCGGCAGGGTGTACTGAGAGGAGGAGAGAGCGTTTCTTGGGTGTCGCCCGATCTGAGGTGCGTCTAGGCGACGCGAAGGTGTGGCATTGGGTCATAGATTTTGATCGCAGGCGGAGGGAGAGGCAACGACGGCGCCCCCTCCTGGGTTCAACAACGAACAGAAGGTTGATCATCTCGCGCTCATACTCGAGGTGAGACAGATCGCGGGCTTCACGGGAGCATCGACTTAGTGGGTTACAATAGCTCTACACCCGGGCATACGACCTATTCAAGGCGTACACACCAAAAGACGCGCATGGTCATGGCCGACTGACACTTTGGATCGCATACCGGATCGCGCAGACGTACTACGAGTCTGGCAAGTTCGATCTCGCCGTGCGGTACGCACTCCTCCCGTTGCCTCCTTACTCGCTTCCGCCCACGGCAGCTGACACACAAGGTCCACGCAGGTTCTTCGAACGGATTGCGAAGACGTACCGGCGCGAGCAGTGGGACTCACTGTTGCGCCCCCTGCTCACGACGTGGTATTCATGTACGCAGCAAATGGGTGATATGGAGCTGAGTGTGCGGTTGTTGTTTGAGATGCTCGGGCATGGTATGACTATGAGGCGTCTTCTGTGCGTCTGGCTAACTATTTTGCTGCCATCTGGGTAGGTCTGAAGACGCAGGACGACGACGAAGACTCCACGCAGGAGGACCTATTGGCGGTCTTGAAGGTGTTTGCCATCGTGATCTATGTCCATCGCTGCGTTGACAAATGACATCGTAGAGCTCTGTTCCGTCATCAACAGAAGAACCATTGGTTATAGATCATTCAGAGTCTGAACCTATATGTATGTTTTCTTTTCGATAAGAAGTGTCTTTTTGCTAATGGCTCCTGCTAGTGGATTCGTGCGCGGTCTTCTGGCGGTCTGACGTTCTCGTTGGCGAGCCCGTTGCATTCCAGCTCTCAGTAACGTCGAGAACGGCGTTATCACTGCGTTCTTTGACGTTCACGTCGCTCGTCATACACATGTCGGGAGAGATGCCGACTCTCTTTGTGCGCAACTCGGCTGTGGATCCCTCTGCAGAGCTGCTGCCTGTCCAGCGCGTGGACTTGGGACACATCACCCCCCAGGATGGAGACGACAGGGATGTCGAAGGACCGCTCAGGTTCGGCGTCGGAGGCACAATCGTCTTCTGTGGCACTGTGTCATGCGAGGTGCCGGCGACCGTCAAGGTGGAGGATATACACGTATGAACTGTTTTGATACCCGCTTACGCAAGAGAACAGATCGAGAGACTCGTGTTGACACTCAAGGAAGGTAAATGGAACATACAGATTCCCCTGTATCCTGCGAACACCAAACACGGTGGGGCGCCTTACCCACAATGGCTCAGCAGTTTCGACCCGCCCACATACATCCCAGTGCGGAGAGATCAATACTCGTCTGTCGTGTAAGCACTCCTGACATTCTCCGTCCTGTTTGCAGCGCTGACTGCTGGCCGCCAGTGTGCGTCATCGTCCGCATAAGGTGCAGGTGTCTGTAACGTACAATGCACCCGCGTACATTGGTGAAGAGTTCCCTATCACCATTGACGTGAGCAACCAGGATGACAAGGAGATGGAGATGGTCGTGGATGCTCTGTTGCAGCCCACCGAATTCGATGAGCTCGGTATGACGGTTGCGTTCGAACGTAGAACATAGACTGATCCGTGCTGCAGGGGAGAACTACATTCGCATAGGCGACGAGAAATCAACGAGTCTCATCAAGGGCGTTCCGCTGGGCACTATCGCCCCTGGCGTCAGCACATCCGTCACGCTTTACCTCTCCAGTGCAGGCGCCGTTTATGACAGGGTCATTGACATCTCCGTTCAGTCACACCGAGAGGTACCACCTACCGGCCACGAACCGGAAAGCCCTCAGTCGCCCAAGAGCCCCACCCTGTCGAGAATAGACCGGGACGAGACAATCCGGACGCTGGCCGTGCCTGCGGTCCAGCCGATTAGCGTCGAGCAGCATGCGGTGTACAGAAGATCGCTGAAAGCACAGCCCGGCCTTGCAGACCTTATGACGTATGAGGATGGGTATTGGGACGACGGGGACATGGGTGAGGCGATCATCACCACTGTCATGGCCTGCGCCGCGCCATCAGGGATCGTGGTCGACTCCATTAAGCTCGTGAGACAGGTGTGTCTTGTCCCGTGCATGTGCGTATCGTGGGTCTGACGATTTTCTGCTAGGATGGCCGGCACGCCAAAATTGTGGATAGCTCGCTTGATCAGGTCATGGACGACTTCCTGACAGGTACTGGTTCATTCCGATGCTGTGGTTATACTGACATATCCATATCGCCAACCAGAATGGCTAGCGGGAGATGAGTTCTGCGATCGGTGCAGGATAACCTTGGCTACGAGAGACGACCTCTCAGAGGGGCAAGACATCCCTGCGCCCGGTTCGTACGAACTCACATGGAGAAGGTACATCCTACGCACATCCTTACGTTGGTGACGGCTGAACATCCGCGATTTGCAGAGTTCTCCCAGACGGCGGCTACAGCATGCCTGCAACCACCCAACTCTCGCTGCCCCCATTGCGCCCGCCGCGAGACGGTCTTGTCGCGCTGCTCGACGTGCCGCCCATCGCGAAGCTGCACAAGCCCTTCAATCTCCGCCTCGTCATCCGCAACCGGCAGCCGACGCGCTCCGCGAACGTTGTGGTGCACCTCGAGACGGACAACAGTGACGCGTTCGTCCTCGCGGGCCTACGCAACGGCAGGCTGCCGATCCTGCTGCCTGGTGCTGAAGAGACGGTGTTATGGAAGCTCGTGCCGGTCGAGTGTGGGTTCGTGCGGATCCCGCGAATGAAGGTATCGGATCGGAGGACGGACCCGGGCACAGAGGGCGAGCTACAGGAGCGGATCATACGGATCGTGGACGTGCGTGCGGACGAGAGAAGGGAGGTGCAGGAGGATGGCGGGGTGGAGGAAGTTCCACTGCCGACAGAGCCCGTGGTCCTCGTCCTACCATGATGTTTGTCTATTGCGTGCTGCCATGATGGGTACAACCGTATGTAGTGTACGAGAAGAGTGCGACAAACCAACATAACTGCAAACAATATTCACGCGGGAAGTACAACCCACTTCAAGTCTCATCTAGTTTGCTCGACGCCGCTTGTGTCCACTTCCTCCACCCTCCTCTACACTGAAACACGCGACACTCCAACTTGTCGAGTACTCGGACCTAACGACTCCGTGCTTAGGCTGCACCGTAAGGCCTCTGCCACAGAAGATAGGCTTTCGCTGAACGTATGTTGTTCTGGTATACATACTACAGCATGATCCTGCGTTGTTGACGACACTCACACTCAAGCCGAGTCCGGCGATCGAGAGGCACGCGTGGCCACTGCCCAATATTCAATATTCAATCCTGGTCGCCATCGCCAACTGGCCACCGTCGTGGCCTACAGATATGTCTCGGCCGAATAAAGTCTAATCCAGGAGGGCTGGTCTGCATCGAGCCTCTGAAAGCCATGCAGGCCGTGACAGGCCGCGTTCGGGTATATGCACGGTCCTGTGTACGTCTCCGAGTCCAGCGTAACCTATCTAGTTTCGCGCCAGTGTTCAACGTTCAACATTCAGTGCTATAATAATACAGTCAGTGGGTATCACAGGGATTCCTGCGGCTCCTGCAAGTGCGGCATCAGTGTCTTCGGCATAGATGGTTATCGGCGAACAGTACGGACCTTGCCAGTGCTCGCAAAACCTTGCAGGCCTGTGCTGATTGAAATCTCGTCGTTCGAGCTGAACTCCATGTTCCCTAGGTGGCCCTCAGAAAGACGGGGCCCAGGCGTGTGCGCACGATTGTGCGTCGTAACCAGGACGATGTTGTCAAGCTTGCCGCGAAGAGCTTGTCTTCCGTTTAGACTGAAGTTTATAAGCTCTGTGAGCACGAGTGTCTGTCTCAGAAACGTATGCATACGTAGCGAGCATAGTATTGATGTATACTGCGGAGTATAGTATGTCAGACCGACGCTCTCCAAAAGATTGTACATGCTACCTTTGCTGAGGACAAGATGGGCAAGCATCCAAGCTTCGTTTCTTTTGACAGTAACGAACTGGTTCCATGACTGTACATCAGTTAGTGCATCGAAAAGCGTGTGGCCTTAAGCACCGTGATCAGGAGGAGGAACTGGATGACTCTAACACGTCTGTTAAGATAGCCGCGACACCATACAGAAGGTGAAGCACTCTCACGCTGTCAATATGCCACGAGCGACAATGTAAGAGAACAGGCGATCGATAACTGCCACAGTGCTGGAAAAAGGTTGGGAGGTTGGGCGGATACATTCCTGTCAGGCGCACCTCTTCGTCCCGCTACTGCGCCAAGACTTCAAGTAGTAGCATAGCGACCCTGTGATGATGACATCGCATAGCGATGCAAACCCTTGGTCCAGGGAGGCCGTGATCTGCAGGTTGACCATGACCAACTAGACCGTGATGCGTGAGACAATGACCTACCATGAAAAAAGAGCTTTGTATTGCGGTCGAGTAGTTCGTCATGAAGAGTTTCGATGTCAAACCTGTGTAGAGATGCTCAGTCTGCGAAGTTCAAGAAGAAAGATAGAAGAAGCCTCACAAAGCCCCGATCCTGGCATCGTGATTGAGGCATGTTAGTGTGACTTCTAGGATTTTCCGATTTACCTCACCGAACGCTACCAAAGCCGTGATTATCTACAAAGCGCTGAGACTTGGACTCGAGGACCAGAGGGCTTTACGTACGATGATAGCAGTCGGGATCCATTTCCTTCCTGATACTGGAGCGGGATGTTTTCAGGCGAAGAACACAATCCGAAGACGGCGTTACTTACCGTCCCAGACCCGTGTAGCAAAGAAGCTTCATCGGAGTGAGATATAAACGAAAGGCGACCCCGCGAGTACAACTGACCACTGAACTAGAAGTGTGATCAAGACCTGTGTAGTTGAAAGTAACAGTAATTAATCTTTCTGTACCAGAAGCATTGTGGGCCAGACTCACGGTCAGGCCGTTCTCGGCCTAGGGTCTCGGTATAGGCAGCTGAGTGACAGCGTTAGTTAGAAGGAAGACTTACTGCGAATGTCCTGTATATTACCATTAGCCGAAGCGGAGCACAGAATCCGAAAAGGAAGCCCGTACCAAGGAAAAAAGTGCAATGCGGGAACATTACCCCAGTTCGCGACAAGCATTACATAGAGGGCGTGAGTAACAAAAGCCGAGCAGAGTGTATCGAGCAAGCTGTCGAACAAAGCTCAGATCTCTTACTGCCACTGAGACCGCGTGAACACTCCTACAACAGTACGAAGACCTGAACGGGTATGTGACGAGGAGTAGCAAGAAAAGAGATGAGCGGGAACTCACGAATGCTTTGAGAGGACGACTATCGTCTTGGTAGGTACGATAGTATAGATACGTCTGAACGGTCGTGATGCCATAGCAGCTGCATGCACCTCCGAGCCTTCAGATTGACTGAACAATATGAAGAGCGGGGCACTCACGCGATCGACAAAGTGAAGCCAATGTACTGGTAGCCCAAGGTTGTTTCAATGATCGGCGCAATAGTAGACATGGTGGCGAGACGTCGATTCCGGACTCTCGCTAGAACTCGAAGCAAAGTGCATCGTGTGGGCCACGAAAGACTCCGTGTATATAAGCCTGAGTCCGAGTCGGACTGACTACACGGGCCAACAACAGTAGCGCCAGAGGAATGTCTCGGGGTAAGGTCAACGTGTCAGCAGACATCCAGACGGCAGTACACTCTAGAGATCGTTGTCCTTAGCTTCGCCACAAAGATAGACGATCATGAGGTGGATACAGGACACCTCGGGTCGTAGGTGCGTGAGACTACTGGACAACGTCAGATGCCCGTGATGAGATGTTTGAAAAGAAGCCCAAATGAGTAGTCTCCCCCAGCAGACGTAGACAATTCCTTCAACCTCCGTGCCTCAGGGTATCCTTGTCTGTGGTGAAGAAGAAACATCATGAACTCGTGGAAGATAAACACCATGCCGTACTCTGAGATCCAGTCCGAGTCTGTCAGTGTGCTTCGTCCAAAACGACAGATAACATAGCAGACAGACCGTCTTGAGTTTTGCGCGAGAGTACTTCATCGTTGTAATGATGTGTTTACCAAAAAGCTTTTGGATGACACGACATGTCTGGGGGCTAATTTCCGGGATTGGAGGGAGACTTGAGAGCCGCCGCGGCCCCCCAGTGAGTCTATGTTGCAGGCTGTCTCAGGACTCACTACAAGCCGCACGACATCGTCGCCCAATAACACGGCTGGAGCCGCCCCTTCTCCTTCCGATGGTGAATGGCCCTGGCAGGAGCTAGCAGGAGCTGCGACTGTTGTCTTCGCCAATCACAACACCATCCACCAGGCAGACCGAGTCGTCCGGGCATCCGCTCGGAAGGCGACCAGAGGCGACCATGTCTGTCTTCACCTGGATATGGAGCCAATCTGGCGGTGCGGGAATGTGTGCACATATTCAAGTTTAGCGTTGAGATCGAGAAGCCGTCGACAGCGAAGGTACGCCCTCAAAATCAGAGTTTCGGGACTCAGCGCTCAAGCGCTCAGTCTGGGATGGTGATCACAGAACGCAGGTGCTGTCTTCTTGGAAGGCGTGGGCGGTGCTTCCTGCCAGTGCGTTGCCGTACGTTCAAGCTAGCCTTGACGAAGAACCCGTCCACAAGCATGGTTTGGGGGAATGATACTGCGCGGTGATATGTCGTAAGTCGTTCGCTGGGCGGCCAATGGTGTGAACAGTGCGGCTCAGGCTCACATGGTCAACATCCCAATCATGCCCCCGCGTCTGCATGCCACCCAGAGATTGGGCCTTGGCACGGTAGTAGCTATTGTTCTGCGGGTCGCAGGCGCCCCTTTGAGGCGTTCTACTGGCACGCTGGCGACTTCTCGCGCGAGGCCTGTGCTTGAACGGGCCGTCGAGCTTCGTCGAAGGCGCACTCACTCCTCCAGCGCGGCTCGACTACGCTTCGTGCAGCAAGGTTTGTTGGCGGCCTCTTCTCGTCACTTCACTTGGCAGCCCATGTCTCCGAGTTCTGTCCATACGTTCGCATTCCGGTAGCACCTCCCCCGACTCGGAGTCCTACCTTCATCCAGCCGTGTCCTAATCCCGGCGGGTCACGCGGAAATGAACTTCAAGAATGAACGACCCAGCCCCCAACAAGTGCCAGGTGTCCTGGCAATACACCTTCACGCATTGTTCTACTCACTGTTCGGACATCGCATTGTCGGCGCATTCGAACGACCCACAAAGTTGCACTGTCATCATTCTGCCTGCGAATAGGTTGTGTACACCGCGCGAACACCGCTTGTCGTTTGGAATGAAACGACACGGCTCAATAATATTATGGATTCTCTGTACCAGCACATTTCGTTCTGCATGTCATTTCTGTACGTACACTGTGATTTAGGACGAGCAACACGGCAATCTGAGCAAGGCAAAACACGAGTATGCTCTGCCTCCACTGCCACAGTATGGCCTCCCGCCTATATTGCACCCTTAATAATGTCGGCCGCTACGAAGACTCGCTGAGCACGATTTAATCGAAGCGGCGGGCATTCTCACCTTGCTCCGCAATGGCATATACCATGGCTATGCGTTGAGGAATGTCAGTACACAATTGGGCCTACACAAATTCGAGGTCGAACCTTGAGTGTGACTGCCAATCTGCACAGGCACCACGGACAAATCAACGACACGTATGTTCGTTGTTCCATAGACCTACGGCAAAGGGCCTTCGGTTAGTCCACATGATAATGATCAAAGTATGGGCCGATTTCACCTTCAAACGTGAGTCCACTACTCCGCCGTCTTCCTTGGGAAGCATCGAGCACGAACTCGTCGTATCTAGGGTGTCAACGGTAAATTCAGAACCCATATACCTCTGTGAAAGACATACGGTAGGTAGTTCTGACATTGTCGCGGAGCCACTCTGATCTTGGGGTCAGCCGCTGCTTCAGCGCAGAGGACTTGACTCACCAGAAATCTGCTCATCGGTTTGGACGTCCTTTCCCGGATACACCTCCTCTGATCAGGGACCATTAAGTATTCAATCCTGTCGATGCAGATGACGTGACTCACCACGTATGACACTCTTGAATGGCTCGGTCTGTATCAGCTTCCTATTGAACTTGACGGACTCGACCATAGTCTGCAGATCTGTTACATACTATCAGAACCGACGGGTAGTAAGCATTGCTAGAGTCTGCTACCGTAGGGCTCCTCAAAGATGTGGGGGTCGATCGTCGGGTGCTCCATGGGGTCCTTGGACGCGATATGCTGCAGAACAATAAGCCCAGTATTCCCTGGAAGACCAGATGCACTCACAATTGTGCCGCGCGAGAAAGGGCTGTTCATTCCAAAGCAGAGTGAGATATGCTTCCTCTCGGGATGTATGGTAGCTGCCACGCATCCGCGGTCAGTAAATCTTCTATCCTGGCCGGCCCATATGCACGCACGAACTGGAACAATAGGTGTTGGTAAGAGCATGATCTCCATGCTCGGAAGTTGATTCTTGAGATGCTTGAGCTGCAACTCGTACTGCTTGCGGAGACCTGGAGGATACTTATTCTCTGTCACCCCAGCCAGGATCGTGCTCGAGAGGGTGCTCTGCATCTCATCCGCGTCCGGACATATGGACTGCAACGGGACGAACGTGAGGTTGACTGTGCGCAGATTCAGTGCACCCTTGCCTTCCGGGCTACGGCGAGTATAAGATCCTACGCGAATCTAATGAGACGTGCACCCACCGGAGTCTGTGATGTTCAGCAGCGAGCTCGGGGAAGAAGAGTGGGTCGCATGTTTCGATCTCGTGGCCGTTGACTTCTTGCTCCTTCACCTCTAGAGAATTTTCGAGTGTCATTTCCTATACAGGCGAACACGCAAGACCGAACGTACGACAAACGAGGCCAAACCATAGGTGCTCTTGGATGTTCTCCCCCACACCAGGCAAGTCGACCTTGACTTCGACACCTGCTTCTTCGAGCACGTCCCGTCTACCGATTCCAGACAACTCAAGGATCTGCAAGACGACCCATCCATTGCACCACCGACTCATAGTGACTCGGAACTTACCTGAGGAGAAATCACAGCCCTGAAGGAATGGAGGAATGTTACTGGAAGGAAATATGATTTGCAAACGGACGCACCCGGCCGCGAGGAGAACCTCGTTTGAGGCCTTCGCCTCGTGCACACTGTCTCCGTACACGAAGGCGACACCGGTAGCCGTGACGGTGCCATCGTCATTGCGACGGCTCGCGATGCCAGTCACATGAGCAGTTACGAGCACGGTCAGATTTTGGCGATGAGCGTTGGGTTGATAGTAAGCCTGTTGAGGGTTGCCCAATCATGACCTGCGATCTCACATAGGAACGAGGAATATACACGAACATTCGCCGAGTAGGACCGGTGGAAGGTCTGAGGATTGAGGATTGCGGGGCTCACAGAAGTGCCGGTGGTCTTGATGTAGCTTAGTGCCGCGTTCTGGGCAGAAAATTTGAACAACATACAATCCCTGCCGCCTAACAGTGAAGCATAAGCGCTCAGCCAGAACGATGCCACCAGCCGACTTACGGTGTCGGTGACACGAGGAATCCCGTGCTGCGCGAATGCCTGGGACAAGACAGTCATGAAGCGAACATCAGCGCGTGTTTAGGACGCACGTCCATAAGCAGCTCCTCCAGGTGAGTCCGGGCTGGAGAAAACGAGACGTCAATGGGGCCTGTTCAGCGATAGGTCAGAAGAGCCATGCAACTGAGGGAGCAGCGCATACCCGACGAGCCCATGTGCGCTGCGTCGTATGTCAGAAATTCCATGTCATAGCTCGGCGGCGTGAACCTCAAGATAGTCGGATGAGGTTGTGAGAGAGCAGCTGAATCTGTGGGGGACGCACTTTTCAGTCTTCTTCACATATCGATGGAATGTGTCCCAATCCCATCCCTCGACCCCGAGCTCCTCAAACACTTCATTCACTGTCAGCATGCCCTCGTGAATCACGAGAGAAGATCGATACGAACTATCCAGGTATTGACGCGCGGGCTTGTTCCAAAACATGAAGTTGATCGCTGAGCTCCCGCCGAGCCCCTTTCCTCTAGCAAGAATCGTCTACTCAGCCGCGAGACATACAGACTGGGTGATCACCAACCGGGACCACACATATTCGCGGTTGTTCGAGTGGGGCTGCTTGACCTGTCCAATCCTCAGTTTCCGTGCGCGAACAAGGTCCGCTTGTCCTCAGCCTTACTGTCTTGTATGCCCAATCGTACTTCAAATTGCTGAACAGCCTCACGGCCTGCATTGGGATCACTGCACCAGCCTGGCAGGTTATCGCAGTGTCGGCAACAGCGAGATGAGCTCACATGTCATCGGGTCATCGAGGTTCGCTTCCCCGGCCTCCAGTACCAGCACACGGACTGACGGATCCTCGGTAAGGCGTGCAGCGACGACGAGCCCGGCGGTCTGTCAAGTCACGATCTTGACGCCCTTGCCAACGTAGATGGTGGCAGGTCGCACTCACCCCTCCACCTGCGACGGACTCGGTTATTATTTATTCATGCGGACAGAAAATCTCGCACTGACCGACGATGATGTAGTCAAACTCCTTGCCGGAAACGTCGGTGATTTGAGCAAGCATGTCAGTAGACACAACTTTGAACGAGCTACGGTGCAACAATTGTACGGCGAAAGGCTTCGTCGGTTTTGGACGATTCTCACAGCGGTATGCTCTTATAGTAGGAACCCAGAGGCACCGAAAGAAGGTTTGGGGAGGATAGGAAGATAACCAGATGGTCTCAACACACCGGGATCAGAGCCTCATTCTGAGCATATCTGCGTGGAAGACCTGCAACGCTGTCCGATGTGTGTTTCGATGTGTGTCGTGGAAAAGCAGCGTCGCCGATCGGCGGCATCCTTCCTTTCAGCGAACAACAAAACAAATGGGCAGATCCCACCACACTTGCATTCGCCGAACAAGAGGGTACTTACATTACCTCAGCCTCCGAGTTTCAGGTCGCGGCGGCGACTCGATGATACCACCGGCAGATGGCAGACGCCGTGATAGAGTTAGCGTGCGGCACATACTTAGGTACTGTACTGCCAGCGTCGCCGCTCCGTCGAGACCTGTCCGGGGTTCACGTTCAGCGTTCAGCCGGCGAATTAATGAGGACGACTTCCCTGCTTCTGCCAGTGTGGTAACAGCGCCGGTGGTCTGCGACGGAGACTACAGCGCCGCCGAGCGTTCTCATGCCCTCCTCCTCATGAGTCTCCGTTACGGCTCGATCCACTAGAAGGTTGATCCCAGCCGGGACTACTACTCGATCCACGTGACGCGTCACTGTATGTTAGAACCGTTGCCCAATGCCAACTGTTGGATCTCGGGGCGTTCTATCGCACGTAATGCCACTGGCCGCTCAACAAATATCAATCGCTGACACGACACTCGAAGATGCGGCTTGCAAGGAGCCCTTCATATTCATCACACTCGACTAGGCAGTCGGGTATTACTTATACTTCCTCCCACGGGCCTACACCCGCTCAGTACCCCGTACGAACACTCCCCAAGGCTGTGGTGACCTCCCAGTGAACCTATCATGGCAGACGCGATTCAGGTCGCGGGTGCCCTCATTGGTATCTTCGCGGTGACGATCCTCCTTACGTGGAGGTTTGATCCAGTAAGCATAGTAGTATCGGTGCATGCCTCAGACAGCAATGCTAACCTTCAAGCTACTCGCAGCTTTATTCCATCCCGACGATTGGGCCATCTCTTCCTCTTCTCTCTTACATCGGTGCCTACCGATATAGCAAGAATGCCCGCGAAGTTCTTCAGGAAGGTTATGCCAAGGTCAGTGCTGAGCGAATCGTAATGCTTTCTCTCATTTACCTAACTTCTTTCCATGGTCATAGTACAAGATCTTCAAGGTCGCCATGCTCGACCAATGGGTTGTGATCGTCAGTGGCGCCGACATGAACGAGGAGCTGCGAAAGGTCCCGGACTCGCATGCGACTTTCCACAAGGCTGCTGAAGACGTACGCTTGCCCTTGTCTCCGAATTCCATCGCTTTGAACATGTACTTACTCTATTAATCCGACAGTTCATCCAGTTGCGATACACCGTGTCAAACAGTGTCGTTGACCACCCAATTCACATCCCCACCATCCGCGGTCCCTTAACAAAAAACTTGGGCGTCGTGTTCGGCGACGTCGTGGACGAGATCAACGCAGCATTTACTGACACCATCGGGAGCAAGTTGCAGGGTGACGGTCAGTCAAAGTTTCCCGTGCCGTGTCGAGGCCGAAACTTATGATCCATCGGTCCTACCCCACAGAGTGGATCAGTGTCAATGCGCTGATGACTATGGCAGTGATCATCTCACGTGTAAGCAACCGCGTCTTTGTTGGCCTTCCCCTGTGTACGTATACGTCTGAAAGCGCAGTAAAATGGCTTGCGAGCTGATGCTGCCATGCCACTAGGCCGGAATGAAGATTACCTGCAGATTGTCCGCCAATTCACTTTCGACGTATCGAGGGCACGCTTCATACTTTCCTGGTTTCCGAAGTCATTGAAGAAGATCGTCGGCCCATTCATCCCCTGGGCACGCAGAGCCACTCAAAAGGCATCGGTGCACCTCAGGCCCATAATTGAGGATCGCTTCAAGAAGCTGAAGGAAATGGGCGAGGATTGGGCAGACAAACCTGTCAGTCGTCCACCATGCAGACATTGGTCTCCGCTAACATTGACCCTCCGAATGCAAGAACGACTACATGATGTGGATTATTAACGAAGCCAGGCGAGAAGGCGGGTCTGTACAGGCGATAATTGAAGGTCTCATGGTCTCCAACTTTGCTGCCATCCACACATCCAGCAATGTGCGTCTCGTTCTGCCTAGCACACCTTGCTCAGGCGAAGCAATTGAGCTGACTACGTCTCACAGAGTATGACACAGGCACTCTATCACCTCGCGGAATCTGCCGAGTACGTTAAGGTATTGCGCGAGGAGGTCGACAGCGTGGTCAAGGAGCATGGCTGGACTAAGGTCGCGACGGGCAAGATGTGGAAGCTCGACAGCTTCATGCGCGAGTCGCAGCGGATCAACGGTATCACGTATAGTGAGTATCCATGTCAACATCTCTGTACCCTGCATACTAACTCGCGCTCTACCGCAGTCTCCATTATGCGGAAGACGCTGCAAGACACGACGCTCTCCGACGGGACGTTTATCCCGGCCGATACGCTCGTCGCCGGCGCGTCAAACGCGACACACCGTGATCCGCGCAACTACGAAAATCCTGAAGTTTTCGATCCATTTCGTTTCGCAGACCTGCGCGAGGAAGACGGCGCCAGCATCAAGCACCAGTTCGTCAGCACCTCGCCCGAGTACGTGCCGTTCGGGCATGGGAAACATGCGTGGTATGTAGTGGTTCCCCGCTCATAACTGGTGTAGTTGCTGACCGCAGGTTCTGCGCCGTGCTAGCCCCGGTCGTTTCTTCGCCGTGAACGAACTGAAGCTCATGATGGCGTACATCTTGCTCCACTACGATTTGAAATTCGAGGGTGAGCAGCGGAGGCCGGAGAACTGGTCGCGCTGGCATAACGTCCTGCCTGCGCACAAGAATGTATTAGTCCGGAGGCGGCAGGTTGTGGCAACTTGATGGAATAGTCTTGTTACTGTAACTGTATTGCGACCTTTTGTCTAACACAAATCAGCGAGTGAGCTTCGGGAGGTACTAGCAGTTCTAGAACATATACCCGACCTCAAGCAGGCTAGGTGAATCAGGAAGAGCACCCTGGTTCGTTATTCAGATAACCACTGGCCTAGCCAGAACATCGTACATCAAGAAGTAACAAATAAACTCAGCGATATGAACCGCAGCTGAGACTCCGCGTCGTGGACACAGACAGACAGTGCGCCACACTTGCTCCGCGTTTCCCTCAGGCTCGCGTAACGACATCATCTCTGGCTGGCCTTTAGCCTACTGATACCTCCGCCTTATATTCTTGCACTGTGTCGCGCACCAGTGAACGTCCAAAACGCCAGAGGCTATACCCGGGGCAAAGGCTCCGAAGTACTACTCCCGGTGCTAAACATCATAATACAGTCTCATGATAAGTACCAGTGTACACTTGGACAAATCCGCGTCGAGTGGAGGGGAGAAGACGACACTACTACGCAGCCAATTGTGATCGTCTCAAAACTTGCAGAGCAGCTGCGGTGCACCATACAAGCGGGCGGCGAGCTCCGCCGCCGCCGCCGCCAGCAACATCACGCCCACGAAGATTTCAAGGCCAAGATAGTTTCCGCCGTCACGTTGTAGGATAGCTGGAGATGATGGTTTCAGTCGCATGCCACAACACGGAGCGATGCACCCACCGCCTGCGATAGACGGACCGGTCAGGATGCCCGGGGCCATGGCAGTCCTGGTCACATCAGACATGAGATGCACGTCTTGCCTCGCTTTCAAGTGGAAAACACACATGAACATCCCGATGCGTGCACCGATCTGAGTCGGGTCAGGCGTGATTTGAGCAGTGGCGGACGCAGAGATCGAAGAGTACGCAGCTGCCGCACCCAGTGTCAGATGAATACGCCCAGAGGGCTGGTGAACGTACCGGACGTGAACCCGAATCTGATGATGAAGTGAGCACCTCGGCCGATATAAAACACATTTGGAGCAGAATTACATCACCGAGAATATGACGGTCTCAGCAGCACCTCTGGACGTCGTCCAAATCGCCATAGACGAGATAGCGCCCAAGACCAGTATGGGGACGGTCACGTTGAATCGTCCGTACTGTGCAAGCGCGTCAGTCATTGTCTCGGCGAGCATGGTGCAGTAAACAGCGCACCATGTCGCTCAGGTAGCCGGTCACGACTCGCCCAATCAAACCGGCAGCATTCATGATGGCGATCATGTAGAAGGACAGGTTGGCGCTCAGTCCGATCGACAAGCCGAACAGCTCGATATACCAGTACGGCGTGTACAGACCTGGATGGATGGACACCGATCAGGCGACAGACTGAGGCAGAGGATGTGGAGAAGGTTTACCAAAGGGCACCAAGAAGCCACCGATGATGTGCAGAAGAAACGTCCCTTCCCGGAAAGCTCTGTAGTCAACGAGCGGAAGATCGAGGCGGTGCGGAAGACGCTCTTTGACGAGAGGGATGGCCACAGCTTGGATGCCAAAGTTCATGAAAGCCGTGATGCGGACAGCCCAAGGAAAGCCGACAGAGTCGAACAGTCGAGAGAGCATGATGGGATAAATGATGCCGCTCAAGCTAGCACCAGACACCACCTACACAAGAACATCGTGATGGAGCGCCGGACGGGCAAGCGGGCAGAACACTCACTATGCCCATTGCCGCGGACCGTTTGGCGCGGAACCAGTGAGTCGGTACGGTCATCTGTGGATATTCCTCAGCCGCATGCATCCAACGCGAAGCAGGGCGCATACGATGGGGTAAAACCTGTCAGACATGTGAGTCGCTGGTCTCGCTCAGCCAGGCGTGCGTGCAGATGAGGGACGCACTGCAGCGCGATTCCGATTCCCAGCCCGATGCCCTGCGCGAGCATGACTTGGTAGTATTTGCGGGACAGAGACGTCATCATCAGGGAGAATGTGGACAGTATCCAGCCAATGACGAGGGAAGACTACATAGGAGAATGCATGTCGTGAGCGGGTTAGGACGCGGCTGAACGAAACTCGGCAACTGCACCCTTGCGCCGTAGATGTCGAAGACGCGACCGAGGACGATGCCACTCATGTAGGTGATGACGAGCTGGACACTCCCGATCCAGCTGATCGTAGAGAGCGTGTAGTCCCGAAGGAGCTCCTCGGCGTAGTACGTCTGGAAGACGCCGAACGCATTGAGTTGACCTGCGAACGGTACGTCAGAGGACGCCGCGGTGACTGAGTGGTGTGGCTGACCGAAGGAAGTAAAAGCGAGCAGGAAGCAGCCGGTGACATTGCCCCATGCACGGAGCCCGCCGTCGGGGAACGTGATGGCTGGTGGTGGCTACAAGGTGCATGATGAGGTGACGGGACATCCTCGTGACGACTCGATGCGGACCTGGGCGGCAAGCTGAACCTGAGCAGCATTCTTCTGCTCAGCTAGCTCCTCTTTGGAGGAACCGTCCGGAGCCTGCGCGCGTTGTTGAGGAAGGAGAGACATGAAGGTAGGACTCCGAGTCGGGGGAGGTGTCACCGGAATGCGAACGTATGAACAGAACTCGGAGACATGGGCTGCCAAGTGAAGTGACGAGCAGAAGCCGCCAACAAACCTTGCTGCACGAAGCGTAGTCGAGCGCCGGCGATGTGAGTGCACCTTCGACGAAGCTCGATGGCCCGCTCAAGCACAAGCCTCGCGCGAGAAGTCGCCAGCGTGCCAGTAGAACGCCACAAAGGGGCGCCTGCGACCCCGCCGAACAATAGCTACTACCGTTCCAGGGTCCAATCTCTGGGTGGCATGCAGACGACGCGGGGGCATGCATATGGTTGGGATGTTGACCATGAGCCGCACTGTTCACACCATCGGCCGCCCAGCTAACGAGTTACGACATATCAGCGCGCGGTATCATTCCCCCAAACCATTCTTGTGGACGGTTTCTTCGTCAAGACTTGAACGTATGGCAACGCACTGGCAGAAATCACCGCCCGCGCCTTCCAAGAAGAGGGCACCTACGTTCTGCGATCACCATCCCAGACTGATCAAGCGCTGAGCCCCGAAACTCTGATTTTGAGGACGTACCTTCGCTGTCCACGGCTTCTCGACGCTAAGGATGCGGACGCATTCTCGCACTGCCAATTTGGCTCCATATTCAGGTGAAGACGTTGTCGCCTTCTAGCGATGCTCGGACGACTCGGTCTGCCTGGTGGAGGGTGTTGTGACAACAGTCGCATCTCCTGAGCTCACCTGCTTCACACGCCGTTCTGGACGTCCTTGCCTACGGTCTATCACACGCCGCCCATTGCGGTCAATTGACACAAGTAACTTAAGTTACTCCCTCTGATGTTGGAGCTGAAGGATGCTATGTTTATACTTGTTAGGGTGGCCGACACAGCCCATGAAACGGGCATTGTATCGGGCCGAGATCTCGTCTACCAAGTCGGTAAGTGGCGAGGAATGTTGGTTCAATTTCCGAGCTCACCACCGCGAGGAGGACCACTCGTACCCCGCTAGGTACTATGCGTGATCAGAGGAACCGCGCTCATGCTGAACCCTGCTGAACCGCCATGGCCAGCGGACCTGCTGCATCAGCGCTAAGCGCCCATACTACGCTCGGAGTAGTCCGGAAGCTCGGGACTCTCGTCCTAACTGGGTAGTCCTATGGGTTGTGATTTTCGAGCAATCTCGAGCATTATTGCCGTCAAGACACGCTGGCACGCGCGTCCGAGTCAGTCATTCGGCCGATGGCTGAATGGACCCTCCTCCTCAAGTTGCCATGCACGGTCGCTGCCAACCCGGACGCACGTCCTGCGATACTACATAGTACTCATACTTAGACGCATGGAGCACGGACCCGCGCTACAAGGGACTCGACATATCGTCAGTGGAAACCTCGGTTTGTTGATTTTGTTCTCGCCTCAGCTTCTGGTCCATCTTCCGTCTGAAAGGCCATTCACAGCATCAACTTCATTGGGCTTCAACGGCGCATGCGCATTGCGCACGGAATTGAGAAGGTGATTTAGGCCCCGAACGCAAACGTGCGATATCATGTTCAAAACCTAATCAGTCAAGTTTATCCTTTGAATGGATGTGTTGACGCTGACGAAGATTTTTGCAGCGAGATATATATATATTTAAAGACCCAGAGTTCGCGGAAACATGAAGGCACGCGACATGACGTCCCTGTCTACCCACCTCTCAGCGGGTTTGGCTTTGGCCCTCTTCGTCGGTTGCCTCCTCTATCCGACATACTCTGTAGGCACTCGACGACGAAAGGACCTCCCTGGGCCCACTGGTCTCCCTCTCATAGGCAACTTGATCCAGTTTTTCTCTGTTCGCACAGCTGTTCTTCTGTACTTGTCCTCCCTTCAGAAGCACTATGGCGAACTGTACTCATTCACTATGCCCGGATGGGGTCGCAACATTGTTGTCAACAGACCTGAGTGGCTCGAGCATATTCGCAAGCGTCGGTATCTCCTCACATGCCAGCCTCGGCAGTGCCACTCACTACGTACCTAGACGATGGCTCGATCTACGGCAAGGGCGACTTAGTATTGTCTATTTTTGCGGAGTTTCCGGGCAGCTCTAGTGCATTTGGTTCCGAAGGTCAAGAGTGGCGATTGAGCCGCAAGTTGATGAAGTGAGATCCGTGTCTCCCATGTTGCACGAGCTTGACCTTTGATAGGCCTATATTTGCTACGAGGACATTCAGTTCGGACGTCTCGCATGCTATGCATGAGGTACGCCTCCGGAATACCTGAAGTTCCACGTACTAATCCGCACCCATTGCAGATCGTCCCTCTTGCCAGAGAACTTTTATCTCATGCATCCAAGCAGAACAGGCTCATCGACTTCAATGGCGGGTCATCTCGTACCGTTCTCGAGTGTAGCTGATCATGTCTTGAACCATGGACATAGACTTTTGCGGCCGACTCGCTTTGGTCATGTTCTGCAAAATGTCGCTAGACTACGACACTGATCTGCTAACGGCCGACCCTGAATGTCTGGCGAAGCCACACTCGATGGTTGGGGCCGTAACTGCACTCAGCAGTATCTCCTCTGGGTGGGTCACGAGATCTCCTTCTCTGCCTCCGTGATTCAACAGTGCTGCAGACGCCTGTATAATCCGTTTTGGAGATTCACTGAAAAGGTCTACGATCCTTTCTCTCCCGATGAGTGATTCGTGTATTGACGACTCTTCCGCCAACTCTTCCAGTTCGACGGACTCGGGGAGCACTTCCGTGCGTCTCGACAGGAGTGTTACGGTGTCATCGATCGTATCGTGAAACAGCGCCAAGAAGAGTTCGCGAGGGACGGAGCGGACAAGCATCAAGATTTTCTGGGTGCATTACTGCGCGAGAAAACCGCACAGGATCCCATCACATTACGCGACACTCTGGTCACTCTTCTGTTTGCGGGGAGAGACAATGTTCAGAATGTCCTAGCATGGTCTCTTCACGAACTGTCGTGTTTCCCTGGCTGGCTGGATCAAATGCGAAATGAGTCTCATAGTGTGCAGCGGGACACGAGCCCTGTCCGCTATGAGGAGCTGCAGGTGAGCTCGATCCTTTCACACATCGGCCAGAAGCTCACGTACCGTAGAATTATCCTGTGCACCTTGCGGTCTTCTACGAGACGCTGCGTTTGTGGCCGGGAGTACCCAAGAATGCACGCATAGCTCTCAAGGACGACGTCATCCCCGCTCTCCCGGACGGTGGGCATGGTCCGATTGTTGTCGACAAGGGTGACTATATCCTATGGTCTGACTATGCCATGATGCGCAACGAGAAGGTGCGTCTGAATAAACCACGTTATACCTTGGTTGCACTCATGGCTGTTATTCTAGGTATGGGGGATCGATGCGAACAGCTTCAATCCGGGTCGCCACCTGGATGCCGAAGGTCGGTTTACGAAGCCGCCCGCGCCCAAATTTCACGCCTTTGGATACGGGTCGCGCGTCTGGTCAGCCACGTCTTCTCGATTTTATGTCACATATTTGACGTGAGGATTCTTAGTCCTGGGGGACAGCTTGCCGCCTACGAGTTCGTCTGCGTCTGGACGGGCATTCTACGCTTCTATGACATCATCCCAGAAAAGATAGAAGAGCGTCTTCCTTCCGATGCGCTGACAATGAACATGAAGGACCCGTTCTGGGTGAGGATTGGAGTCCGCGAGTGCGGTATGGAAGCGTAGCGAAGTGACGCTAGCTCCGCTACGCACTGCTCTGTCGCGATTGGTGACGACTCTGTGCATGTGCAAAGCTAGCTGTGTTTGGCATGGGTGATACTTACTATACATTTTTTTGAGTCCGACCAGCTGGTATGGCGACTACTCTATCGGTGTTCCTCACTGTTTTGTACCACTTCGCTATGTTGTATACAAGAATACGAATGTACCTTATCCTACTCACTGTGTGGTCACTCGCGCCGACGTATCACTGTCCTTGGCTACGGCGGGAACTGGCCTCCACAATCGTGTAAAGATGCAGCTAACTCTTCTTCCAGACGATACGATAGGACGAAAAATGGGACGACACGACTGTCACTGGCGACGATGATGAACTCAATATTGATCAACCACAAAAAGTGAAGTCCACAGATTGTCAACGAACAGCTTGAAGATCATCAGACGCAACGTGAGTGATGTGGCAGGATAGATTGTAGCAAGACTCGGACGCGGCCGAACTCTTTGTAGGTGGGCGTTCAAAAGCGCCACAGACGACTTGGTTCGAGCAACAGCTGTGACTTATCTAGAGTATATCCGGGAATAAAGGTGAGGATCGAGGCGATGTTCAACGTTCAAGCCACGGTTTCCAAGTGGCTGAGCCACTATGCTTACGTAAGCCTGTTACAAGGTACCGGGAATTGATCTCGATCGTACTCGCTACAAATTCGCTATGTAACGGTTATGTAACTACTAGTACAGCACATTGACGACTTCGAATCACACCGTCTCCTGTGGACGCCCGACGAGCTTCACGTTGCTGACCCCCTGTTTGAGCTTCTCTAGTCCAGCAATAATGCCATGCAGCCCGTTGGGTAGCACCTCCACGGGGTTCGGCTGCGGGTGGGCAAGTCGTCAGCGGTGAATACAGCACATTGCAATCGCTTGGCAACACCCACCTTGACCGCACCTTCTTCCAGCAGAGCGGTTATCTTCGAATACAGACTCGCTCCCAGCTCGCGGTTCTTCGGGACGTTCGTGTTTCCGTGTGTCTGGGCAATCCGCTTATCGTCCGTCTTGTTCTCCACAGCGCTGGGCAAGACGATGACGAGCGTCCCGCCGGAAGCGAGGATTGCATAGCCGACATTCTGCGTCTGGGACTCGGCGACGGCGTCGAACACAACCTTGATAGGTGCGAAAGTGATTTTCCTGACCTCCGCGATGAGGGCGGCGTCGGGGAGGTTGCGATCGAGGACGTGCGTCGCGCCCAGGCTCTTCAGATGCTCAGCGTTGCGGTGGGAGGCCGTAGTGATGATGGGGCCGAAGCCAGCGAGTTTCGTGAGCTGGATGACTGGAAGGGTATCAAAATGGAGCGAGTGCTAGTACTTTCAATCTGCGTACCGTATTGACCGACGGAGCTGGCACCGCCGATGACGAGGATGGGCTCTCCAGCGTACTTCGCGCGTCCGCCGTCTTCCCAAGGCGGGAAGAGCCCTGCGCTACTGGTCGGTGCTCCCTCGTGGAAGAGTCCCGTAGCTGCGGTCGCCAAGCCGAGCGGGATCGTTGAAGCTTGGTCGAAAGAGAGATTGTCTGGGATCTGCAAGCCAGCTGGTGAGCGTGATTTACTGTGCTGCGTGAGGCTCCGCACCTTTCCAGTCACATCGGCGTATCCGAGCGTGTATTGCTGGAAGGTTGCATGTTCATAGACCCCGTACAGGCCATTCGTAAATCTACAGACGAGCGCTCAGCGCGAGTCACCATAGAAGTGACGCCAAGGAGAACTGCGCACACTCTGTCTCCTTTCTTAAGGTTTGTGACGCCTTCGCCGACCTCCTCGACGACGCCTGCTGCGTCACCGCCGAGGATCGCAGGGAACTTCTCGAGGAAGAGGCCAAATGCTTGGATCTTCCAGTCTACGGGGTTGAGTGCCGTCGACTGGACCTTGATGAGGACCTCTCCCGGGCCAGGCTTGGGCACCGGGGCTGACGCGACTGCGAAGGGCCCGTTTTTGGACTGCAGGTAGAGCGCTTCCTGCTGCGACATCACTGGTGAGTCTTATAAGGGATCTGTGGTAAAGTGATAGTGGGGTCTGCTGAGGAAACGTAGTCCATGCTGGGTCGTATATATAGCGAGAGGGGAAACAGATCTACAGCCCGATGAAAGCGATTCTCATGCTGACGCCATCTCATATCAGCTTTAGGTTGTCGACATATTAGGTCGACGAAGACTCGACAACAGCCGCTCGAACTCTGGGCTGACCAAGCAGTGATACCATGGGACTTTGTGACCCCTTCATCCCCGCTCCGGAGAATGGTATCGATGACAAAGCATTGTTCCGCGCCCCTTTCTACAGACTACCTAGCTCGACGCAGGAGTGTGCTCCAGTCTCAAGGCTACTCATAAGGTCCCTTGAGGTTGCTACGTCTAGAACCAAGTTATTTGACTGACGCTAGTATTCCTACAAATCACGGCTTCTCTCGTAGCCACATGCCCGCTCCAGTTTGGCCTAGCCTGAGTGTGAGTGCATATTAGTGCGGATTTGTGGCATGCGCCATCTGATGGGAGAATCTTATTTAGCCAACTTGTTCTCTGTCAAGTACCGTAATCTTCAAACCAACGCACTCGTTGAGCGATATTCAGAGGCTGCGAACCCCAATCGGGCCTCTCGTCAGCTGGCGCAGCGAAGCTCATGGAGTCCGGCGTTGAAGTTGAAATGGGTGAGTACACTCGATACTACGCAAGATATGCGCTAGGTATCGTCATTTCAATGCATTCACTCCAGGCTGGCGACTCTGCACATCTCGCCATCCTGCGCTTCTGTTGCAATCGCAGTGTGAACTCAATTGGAACATCGCTGAACCACACGCCGCATACAAAGGTAGTGAATTGGTCGATCTTCCCGATAATCACATCATGTACGCAGGTCGTTCACAATCTCAGGATGTAAACCCGGTGTAGTACCGTCGGCCAAACTTGAAGACACCTGCGTACTCAAGTCCATTGATAGCGCATTCACGCTGGGTTGTCCCTGTTCAGTGCGTTTGTTCATTATCAACACATACACCGGTCAACAGAGGTTATGAATTGTAGAAATTTTCATGGCATGCTTAGAAGTCTTGTAGCTCAGATAGCTCAGATAGCGTTGAAGTGATTACACATCGCCTCAGACTCGCCGAGGTAAGTTACTTACTTAGTACTAGTAGAGCGCCCACGCCACGATTTCGCCTAAAAAGGAATTTGCTGTCGTCCACCACCACCACCTCCTCGTCCCTCGACCGTCGCCGCGGACTTCACCCCTCGCAGCACATGGTTACCCAACTTTCCTCAAATTCCCCTGTCACGCGTGCTCCTAGTCTACAAATTATCCTACAACTTTCAACTCGGACCCGCTCTAACTCGTCGACCCCGGGCCTCTGCAGTGAAAACCTCCTGAAACCACAGGAGCTCCGTGACTACGAGCTAGCAGGAGCAGAGAAGGTGAAAGGATCTGCAGCCTGAGGGCTCGGGAATCACTGGTGAGCGTTCTCGATTCTCATGATATACCCAAATGCATCCTTACTCAGAAAATACACACCCGCATCAAGCTCAAGCTTGCACCTTATACCATGCTCAGTACGTAAACCTGCTACAACCCAGAATTGATTTCGATCGTACTCGCTATGTAACTAACGACTTGGAATCACACCGTCTCCTGCGGATGCCCAACGAGCTTCACGTTGCTGACGCCCTGCTTGAGCTTCTCAAGTCCAGCAATAATGCCCTCTAAACCGTTTGGCAGCACCTCCACGGGGTTCGGCTGCGGGTAGTAAGTCGTCCGCGTCAGCACTGAATACAGCACGTCGCAATCGCTTGGCAACACCCACCTTGATCACACCCTCTTCCAGCAGAACGGTCACTTTCGAATACAGACTCGCCCCCACCTTGCGGTTGTTCGGGGCGTTCGTGTTCCCGTATGTCTGGATAATTCGCTTATCGTCCGTCTTGTTCTCCACAGCGCTGATCAAGACGATGGCGAGCGTCCCGCCGGAAGCAAGGATTGTGTAGGCGACATTTTGCGTCTGGGCTTCGGAAACGGCGTCGAACACAACCTTGATAGGTGCGGAAGTGATCTTCTTGACCTCCGCGATAAGGCCAGCGTCCGGGAGGTTGCGATCGAGGATGTGCGTCGCGCCCAGGCCCTTCAGATACTCAGCGTTGCGGAGGGAGGCCGTCGTGATGATGGGGCCGAAGCCAGCGAGTTTCGTGAGCTGGATGACTAGAAGGGTATCAAAATGAAGCGAGTGCTAGCACCTTCAATTGCGTACCGTATTGACCAACGGAACTAGCACCGCCGATGACGAGGATGGGCTCTCCAGCGTACTTCGCGCGTCCGCCGTCTTCCCAAGGCGGGAAGAGGCCTACACTGCCGGTCTCCGCTCCCTCGTTAAACAGTCCCGTGGCTGCGGTCGCCAAGCCGAGCGGGATCGTTGAAGCTTGGTCGAAAGAGAGATCGTCTGGGATCTGCAAGCCAGCTGGTGAGCGTAATCTACTATGCTGCGTGAAGCTCCGCACCTTTCCAGTCACATCGGCGTAACCGAGCGCGTATTGCTGGAAGGTTGCGTGTTCATTGACACCGTACACGCCATTCGTAAATCTACAGACGCGCGCTCAGCGCGAGTCACCATAGAAGTGACACCAAGGAGAACTACGCACACTCTGTCTCCCTTCTTGAGGTTTGTGACGCCTTCGCCGACCTCCTCGACAACGCCTGCAGCATCACCGCCGATGACCGAGGGGAACTTCTCGACGAAGATGCCAAATGCTTGGATCTTCCAGTCTACGGGGTTGAGTGCCGTCGACTGGACCTTGATGAGAACCTCTCCTGGGCCAGGTTTGGGCACCGGGGCTGACGCGACTGCGAAGGACCCGTTCTTGGACTGCAGGTAGAGCACTTTCTGCTGCGACATTGTTGGTGGGTCTTATGTGTAAGGGTTGGTGGTAAAGTGATAGTAGGATCTGCTGAGGAAACGGAGTCCACGCTAGGTCATATA